GTTTTGGGGTTTTTTTTGTATAAGAAGTCAAGAATGAGGGATGGAGTGAGTGATTTCGGACAGAAATTAGAAAAACAACGTCCCTGTGACATACATACAGACTTCTGAGGAAGCTCTGTGGCCCTCTTGTGTTTTTTTTTTTTTTTTTAGTGCTGGGATCTGGTCCTTTCAGAGGAGCAACTTCTCTTGGCAGAGGTCTGTTTAGTCTCCAGTGATCAGATATTTTTAATCCTCTGTAGTCATTTGTCACACAGCCGAAAGGCAAAGCCAGCAGCACTGCTCCCTGAGTCTGTGCTCGTTGCTTTTGCTGTTCACTAAGAGCAAGGTGAAGACAGCTTGTCTGCTGTAATCAAACAGTCATTAATTGTTGTGTGGCGGTGATTCACCCCTCAGCAGGTGACATCCGTTGTGTATCTATACAGTGCGCCATATAAATTAAGCTTTCATGGGGATAAATTCGACTTAAAGTAAATTAATGAATCAGTATTAATGTGTACATTTTACTTTATATTAATCGACGTCTGTAAGTACTTTCTCTGTCAGTAAATTTCCTTCTACAGGCAAGTTCACAAGTCTCTGATTGTTGCACTTGCTGATATATTAGTACTGAAATCTAATTGCAGATTAATTAATCAAAAGAAAACAAATCAACAATGAGCTAATTATATGTTGGTAAGAAAAAAAAAAGCCAAACATTGGATGATTTTAAGCTTCCAAATGTGAGAATTTGCAGTTTCTTCCTCTTTTACATCATTGCCATTTGAGAATTATGAGATTTTGAGCTGTTTGAGCCAAAACAGTTATTTAAAGAGGCGACCTACAGTTCTAGGATTGTTTGTTATTTTCACAGAAAAATCAATAATTACAAATCATCATTGGGTGCAGCCTCATTATCACGCACTTCTTTCATTCACTGCAACCCAATTGCACTTATCTGAGTGTCATGATTGCTTCTGTTTGTCCTTAAACACATTTTTTCACTACTTTTCTCCTCCATCTCCCTCCTGCATGGCTCACCCACTCAACCAGCAGCCTTGAAATCATTCTTGGATAAACTTTTATGTAATTTATTTTTTTCCGGTGTCGTTGCTCTGTTCTATCTTTCCCTGATAATGCTGTTGCAGCAGATACAGAAACTCGTTTCCCCGTATTGGGATCAATACAGTTTCAGCCTGGCTTGTTAGCTGCAGTAAGGGTGGTTTTGTTTTACAGCCCCACAGCACAAAATGAGTGTTGTGCTCTCCATCCATTTGTTTTGGTTGTTAATCGATACCAGTGATTCGGTGAGAACACCGACCGATGCTGTAGCTCGTCAGTCTTTACCTTTGAGCGGAGCCTCCCTTCTATAGATTTGAAGACGGATCCATTGTGACAGGTGCCCGTTTGTTTATATCCTTCCCTTAATGCTTCTGCACTCCACCGCTCCCACAGGGTGACTTCTTGTTGAAGGGCCAGCGGGCAGGGATTGGCCTCTAAGTGCTCTTTTATATTATATCACCGCAGCAAGATGAAAATTTAAACCAGTGGCGGCCGGCAAAACCTTGGTTTTCAGCTGGTTTCAAGTTACTGTTTCAGGTTCGTGAAGTGGGACCATGATGGAAGGGTTGGTCATTTAAATCTTCAGATGATCAATCGAAGAAGGTTCAGTGTAAATCAGCTGGACTTCTCTTGTAGGTTACAAGCTACCAACACAATTACCTGCATAACTGAGAATCTATACAGACATAAATTCATTTAGCCATAGTGGATCTGACATAACGTCTCACCGGCCCTTTTAACTTTATATATTCCAGGAAAATGTTATTTATAATTGTTCTTTTCCTGATAAGTGAACTTTTTTTTTAAGGGAGTCTTTCTTACAGCTAAATAGCGCTAACAGCTAAATTCTTGCAGAACTTCTTCTTCCTTCCTTCCTTCCTTCCTTCCTTCCTGCGTTGACACAGCATGTCTAAATCACAACCGATCGCCGCAATTTCAGCACCATTTACTGTCCTGACACCCAGCAAAGTCTCCCAAATGTCTGGGATAGACAAGACACTCAAAATGTTGACTTTGGTTGTCTCCTGAAGGAGCTGCTGCGTCTATACGCGCCACCTTCACCATGGCAGAAAATAATTCAAATAAATAAAAACCATTGAATGCGAAGGTGCATCCAAACTTTTGGCTGCTGCTGTAACTTCATTTGGACTTAGCAGGAATCAGTGCAGCAACTCAAGCTTGCAAGAAATGATACTTGGTGTGTAATTTTTCGCTGTGCTATCTTTGCATAAACAAGCATAATGTGAATTGTTAATTATTAGAGTTTAGATGTACTGTTTGGGTTCTGTAACCTTCAGCACAGCCAGGCTATTCCCAGTTGTTATGCTAAGCTAAGCTGGGACTGGACACTAGAGCTGAAAAATGTATCACATAAAATGATTTATTTAGGTCAGTGTTGATATTTATTAATTATGATTAATGACCTATTTTTAAGGAGAATTTAACAATTATATTTGACCAATACCCCGCAGCACTCATTTTTCACTCCGTGCTGTTGCTGTTGTTGTACCACTTGTTGATGGTGAAAGCAAACAGTCCACCCGTTGAACAAGTGGCTGCTGTGTCGCTCATAGCATGCTCCGTTATCAGGGGAAACATTAAGATGCTTATAGTCCAGGAAGGGAGCACATCTGTAGTTTGTTCAGCAACCAAACTTTGTGTTTTTGTTGTGTGTCGGTTTTGTGCAGTGAGGAGCTAATGCATGTAGGTGAGACAGTTAAACCTTTCTCTCTTACGGATGAAGTGTCTGTTGTGCACATATCAGGCTTAAGCTGAGCTGTTGGTCTGTTGACTACAGTTACATGATTAACAGAGACATTTTAGAGTGATAATGTCGGTCTTTTCATCTAAATCTGAGAAAGAAAAATACTTAGAAGATTTCCAAAAGGCAGAAAGATCAGAGAGTCATCTGTTAACCTTTTATGTTCTAAATTTTAAACCATGAAGATTTGATATTTTGTAAAAACTTCTCCTACTTCACCACGTCCTAGAAAAGCTATAGAGACACATCACACGTCTACATATACGCCACGTGATGTGATCCCAGTGTAAAGCCTGACAGACCACATGTGGGAAAGAGACACTAACATGCATGGACAGTGGGTAAGATGTTGAAACACAGTTGGAAGGACAATATTTCTTGGCATATGTGACATTGAGATGTACATGCAGACATATGTGACTTGACAGCAGCACGGTGGCACAAACCAGATATATGAATTCATCCAACGTAATGAATCACTACCGTCAGTTCAGCCTCGAGTTCACGTGGATGTGAACCCTCAGGGGATTTACCTGATGACCTTCCACTGTCATTAATCACCACCACTCCCTGACATATTGGATTTTTCTCTGACTTGGCCAGTAAATGACCCTGCTCTGTACAGTTAGGAGTCCCCTCTGGGTGAAAGAGTGTTTAATTAATAAGGTATCTTCCGTGATGCTGAAGGTCAGTGGAGTACGATGATTACTCTCTGGATACAGAACAATTCATCACTTTTTTTTTTTTTGGTCTTGAGGGGATTACAATATCCACTCTGTGGGACTATTCTCTTGCTTTATGAGTGTATTATTATATTGATTACATCCACATTTATTAACAGCTGATGTTCTGTTTGTTGTTGTGCTTGTGGCAATATTTGTTTTCAAGAAGAGGTGCTGCATTATGCTGGTATTGACGATAACTGCAATATACAAAAATGAACTGTTGATATCATGTTAGTAATACGTACATGATATTAATATGACAATACCAGTAACTGTCTGGTTGATACTCAACTACCAGAGCTACATACAGCAAAGTTATTGTGTTATCATTACTTCAGTATTTTGACTGCGATTAATTTTCCACGAAAGAGACAAAATAAACTGCATTTAAGTAAAATAGCATTTTTGCTTTGTTTTTGAAATGTTCTGGAGGTATTGCGATAAGATTGTTATTGCATCACAATAACTGTGTAGTAAAACTCTGATTTTGTTCAAGCCCTGGTTTCAAGTTCATTAACATCCACTGTGCTCTTGACTCATCAATGCTGTCTTCAAATATCTGACACTGATATTTTAAGAAGAGCTCAAGTTTTGATGTTTCTTCTGACTGAACTGCCTGTCAGAAAGTACAGTTCATCCCGTCTGTCTACATGGTTGGATACTTACAGTCGTCCTCAAATATATTCATACCCTCCCCTTAAAGAAGGAAGAACACAGCTGTCACTGACATAAGTTGAAATTGACAAAAGTAATAATAAATAAAAAAATTATGAAAATCATGACATTGCTTTTGAATCATGGTTCAACAGAAATATAAAAACAAAAAACAAAAAAAAAACAGGCATGATGGGACCTGTAAACTAATATTTAGTTGAACAACCCTTTGAGCCAATCACTGCAATCAAGTGTTTTCTGTAACTCTCAATCAGACTTCTGCACCTGTTGACAGCTATTTTGATTTTTGCCCACTGCTCATCAGTTTTGCCCTTTTCTTTTTTTTTTTTTTTTTTAAATGGGAGGGTATAAATACGTTTGAGGACGACTGTATATGTTGTTGGGAATGTATGCAAAGGGATGCTGTTTCCGAGGCAACCCTATAATCTGATGCAAACGGTCCTTATTGTGCTGGAAATGTCCTCTGGCCAGCTCTGCTCATTAGCCTTCACCTCTCTGCCTGCTGGGAACCACACACGTTAATCGCACACACACACACACACACACACACACACACACACGTACGTAGGAGTGGTCGGCCTGGTTTACTTTTTTCAGTCAGTTAATTTTCCATCTCAAGCTGCAGCTCTCTGCAGTGGGGGGACAGTTATTAATGTTTTCTCCATGACACTGTTTCCCCTCTGTGTATCCTCTTTGTCCAGACTGGACCTCCTGCTTGCCTTATCTTAGGATTGATTGATTTTTTTGTTTATATGTATATTTTTTTTCTTTTCGTAATCCTTGTTCTCCTCCACCTGCAGGGTGTGGGCCTCTCAGTTCACGGACGGTTTCGAGTGGCCACTGAGAAGACGCTGTTTGCCATGCCAGAGACTGCCATCGGTAAGACTGTCCAGCTGCTCTGGCTCCCGTCTTCGTTGCTGGAGGGAGGGTTGGGTGGCAGAGACACTGGTCGGCCCACATCAGTGTGAGCTGGTATCTAGACCATTAATTATGTAGGAGCAATGATTTCAGTTGCAGACCCAGCTGGACCCAGTTTGTATGCACTAACAGACACAAGGCCTGTCAGCATCGCAAGCTGGGAAAAAATACACCAAGTGTGAGCTGACTTGTGGTCGGTACAGTGTTTGATAGCATGGATAATCTCATCCTCATAAAACTGAAGTTGGAAATGAACTGCTGAAATGGCCAGTGTGATAAAGTGTGGTAATTGTGTGGCATCATTGGACAGAACCCGACATTATGTGTTTAAAAATGCTGATAGAAACCACAAATGCTTGCTGGGAGATGATGCAGGGGTGCAGCCATCTTCAGTAACTGATTGAGATGACATTTGTGAGAATTGGAATCCACTTTCTCCCCATATGTGACTCTTACTCATTCCCTCCTTCTGTGCATCGTCGAGTGACACCCTCAGTGAGAGAGACTAAGATCCAGGCAGCATCAAACCAACATTTGTTCTCTTGTGGTTGTACTCAGACTCATGCTATGAACGAAATGCTAACTTCAGCGCCATCACATGCTTGGTAACACACTTCTGTTACGGAGGGGTGATGTTTACTCTTTTATGCTAAAGTGCTTTCATGCTAAGATTTGCTAATTAGAATTAAGCATTAAGTGTAGCTGAGGAGAACACGAATGTCTCAAATGTCACAGCGGTCCCTCCAGTAGTTCTTATGGAAATATTTGACTCCAAACCAAAAATGTCAGCATGCTGGTAGCACGAGATGAAAAGCCAGGGGATGCTCAAAATCTTTGAGATTCATCCTCTAAGAACACTGAATGTTTGCATTAAATGTCATGGCAGTCCGTCTAATGGCTGTTGAAACGTCCCACTAAAAAACAGACATTTCAGTTTACACGACAATTGTTTGGTTCAAAACACCAAACAGGCATGTGTGCCACATGGTCCTGGCCCCTTAAGCAGAAAACTTGTTGATACACTACGAGAGGCGCTACATTAATTGAGATAGACACTCTCTGATAATCATATCATGTCATTGTTTTATAGAATAGTAAAGCACTGTCTAAATGATTAACTTTGAGCCAAATGTAAGACAAAGAAAAGTTACTGAAGTTTTGTTGAACCAAACATATATTATTACTGTAGGTTTCGTATGATTTGCAATTGTTTTTCAAACAAACTGAATCATTGAAATCAACTAAAATTCTATTATAATTTAAAAACCAGACGCACCAGGCTGTTTGATCAATTGTGTATCTCCTATGTCTGATAATGGCATTATAAATGCAAATAAAGCCATGACTACAGGACATACAAACATGGCGATAGAGGAGCAGGCCTCTCTAAATTTCTTGTTCTGTTGCAGCTTTCTCACAGGCACACTGACTTATCTGTGGCTCCAAGAGGATGAGAAATAAGAAAAAAATCCCACATTGCATCATCAAGGAGATGGGATCCAAAATTCTTGAATTTTCAAACAAGTCCCAGCGCAGGACAAGGCCAGTGTTTAATAGTTTTATCGTAGTCATTAGTTTATTTTCCTAAAATTAGTAACTAGAAAAAACACTTCCCACATTTCACCTGCTTCCAAACTGTAGTGACTAGACTGCAGCCATGACGGGGAAAGTGCGAATGAAGTCATTTTCTGGAGTCACTCTGCTAAATATGTGCTATTAAAACTGTGCTGGTTTGAAATTCATTAATAATACCCTACCACTGCTTCATTAACCAACACAGAACCGTTTATTCTTTGCCCACGTGGGTTCGCAGGCTGGTGGGGTTCGAGGGCTTGTTTGAGTCTGTTATCTTTTCATGCAGAAAGCACATTTCAAAGCACTCCTTATTCCACTCTGGGTGCATGTTGTCATCAAGCCCCCATTAATTTCCTTGACTCCTCTCCTTGAGTCCCGCCCACCAGAGATGCGAGTGAAGAAGACGAGGAGGAGACATGAGGAGAGAGAAGCGGAAGCAACAGACATGAGACATCTTCGCTTCAGAGCTGTTTTAAAGCAGCGTCAGTTAAATATGATGATGTCGGGCACGACTGCATCGTCTGGCTGTTGTTCTTCTTATGGCCTCACACTGCATTGTCGCTCATTGCACTTCCTCTTCTCTCCTTGAGATGCATTTTCAAGTATTGAGACATCCTTAAAGATGGCGTGCGTACAGGCAGAAGCATGGTGCATGACTTTTTGCGTTGTACAGAAATCATTTTTTGATACATAACACATTTCTTACGGCATCAGTGTTTGAATGGCACAGCGCTTACTGTAATCATTGAGAATTTGTCTTTGTTTCTACTGTCTGAGCCAATTCCTCTACTGTTAGCGGCCATTGCCAAAGCGCTAAGCTATACTTTGCTCTTTAGCTAATTGACTTCTGTAGACAGATGGCCTTCTCCTGAGGAGGTGAGGAGATTAGTAACAAATCTCTAACAACTAACAAATTACAGCTGATGTTATGGTACAAATGAGCCTGTCATCACTTAAACACAGATGGCTTATTACAGTTGTATCGTTGCATATGGGTGTATATAAATCATGTGCAGTGCTGCTATACCATTTATCACAGTGGGTTTGTGGCAAAAGTGAGGCTGTGAACTGATAAGACAGTTAATGTTCTCAATGTGTTCCCAGTCAGTGTAATCACTTCATAAGGGCAGATAATGGATTCTGAGCATCTTTTAAATTCAGTTTAAAGGCTCTTAACAGCCGTTCTGCTTATTCCTTTCATCTTGGAATCAGTTGAAAAGTAGGAGATGGTTTATTGAGTAGCTAGGTAGATGTGAATCCGTCTATGTTCTGATAAATCAACTGTGTAGTCACTCCCTCACACGTGCAGACTTCCAAGGACACTCAAGTCATCCTTCATTTGACACACACATATACACACACACACAAACCCACACATTCTGATGCATTGTGGGCTCTGACATTGGATATATCTTCAGCTGATGTGTGGTGATGTGCAGCGGAATCAGATTGCAGCATCTTTTGTGTCTGGAGCCGGGCGAGGATGTAGATTATGTTGTCAGCGGACAGGGGACGAGCGGAGCACAAGCAAGACAGCTGAGGTTCTTGTTGTGGTCTGATAGTTGTGTGGGATTTTCTCAAAGGCGAGGCCACAATGAAGAGTGGGAGGAAATTGGACGGTAATTCAATTGCACGGGCTGAGGATTGGTTATAATCCAGGATAGATATACTACACACTACGGTTATCTTTTAGGGTGTGTCTGCAAGAGCTAACACTTTTCTTTGTATTTAATCCAATGCACTCTTATGTTGTCCAGTACTTGTTGGTAAATGAGCACACAGAACACTTGAATTTCATCCAATTATTAATGGTCACATGAAAGCAGGAGTCTCTGGCTTTCTTTTAAACTCTCCAGTCACTAGTGAGGAGGAGCAGGAAATCTTGGCTAATCCCTCTCCCAGCTGCCGTGGTCACAACCGTTGTCATGATTGTTTGTACTGAAGGCACTTAACTTGCAGGCCAGTGCTACGCCATTATGAGCACATCCCCTCTGCAGTCTGAAACTTGGAATTCACGCTGCACCATTTCCATTAGAGAAGAGCATTTCTTGCCTTTTCACAGAAACACAGCTGCCTTACAGACCCTACATGCTTATTTTAGCCCTCATCCTGGACTTGAATCCTCTCAAGAGTCTCTTATGCGCCGAGTTTACTGTATTACAGTCACACTGTGGAATCTGACTTTTTCCACTGAAGTATGCCAATGTGATAGAGAGTGCTTAGAAAGTCTTGAAAAATGTGAAAATGATTAGAATTCATTTGGAAATACAGTTCAGACTTTCTTAATGGTGCATTGAGTCCAGTGAGCTTGATTCAAATAACAGGATGTCAGCGGGTTTGTGTCATTCATATAATTTTGCAGTTCAGTGTGGATCTGATTTTTAATTACTATTGCAGTGGATAAAATATGACATCATGGGCCACTTTGCAGAGGCTCTAATCTGTATGAGTTTGGCGTGTGCAGGTGTGACCTAATTACACTGATGAACCATTGTTTCAAAAGCCATAAACCAACATCCTTCACGTTTACATAATGCATGTCACAGAAGCGAGACTGGGGTTTCATGTGACGACTTACTTCAGACTGCAACATTGATTTTCCATCATTTTCAGGCCACCAACCCCTTAGAGAGGTGAATATTTCCAAAGCACTCCACCTTACTAGCAAGTACATCTTTAATGCAACATGCACTGCTACAGAACACATTGTGGTTGTTGAATCTGAAACCGTCTGTTGTATGCAACTATTCACGTTGTACAATTAGCTGAAGCACCGAATAAGACACCATCTGTGCTGTTTCTGAAACCAGTAACCATTCACTTAAGATTCTTACTTAAGCTTAACTGGATTTATGTCTTAATTCAGCGGTAACCAAAGACGGACCACACATTGTGCTCTCCCCTCACTGCTCTCAGTAAAGCAGGTGTTTGGCTGATTTGAGCTTCGACGGAAACTTTCTATTACAACCATCATCTTGGCAGACAGACAGACAGACAGACAGACAGACAGGCAGGCAGGCAGGCAGGCAGACAGACAGACAGACAGACAGACAGGCAGGCAGGCAGGCAGGCAGACAGACAGACAGACAGGAATTTCAAACTGAATTCACCTTCTACATACTGGTTTATTAACCATAACAGAAACATAAAAAATGATTTTGGTTATTGCCAATGCTGTTAATTTAGGGCAGCTGTGGCATAAACCTTGCATCGGGTGGTGGCCTAATAAATTTGTTAAGCATTGTATTTCAAGGTCCTACGCAAGCCAATCAGGAAGGTGAAAAAGTTCACCAGTGTGATGGCAGCACCAGGTACCTGAGCACCTCCACGAAAGCAGTTTCTGCCCTCTTCTCCTCTCACCGCCTGCATCTGCAGTGATGTTTGAAGCGGAATTTCCTCTCTGGCTCACATCATTTTTGAGCAAGCAGTTGTCAGTATCCAGAGTGGGGAAAAATACTCAGATGTTTACCTTAAGAATCAACACAACTGTGTGGAAATACATTCTGATCAGGTTTATCTGCCAAACAAATTTGAAGTGTCAAAAAATAAAGACTGCTTACTCTGACCTGAGGGGTTTTAGAATGGTTAAAGGTGTACGGAAGAGATGAGAAATGCTAAATTGTGCAGTTCCCTAATCCTTGCTTTGTTCCTGAAATAGTGGTGGATTTTGTCTCTTTGGGTCCTGAACAGTTATTTAAATAAAACCACCTGAGAAGTTTACCTGTTAACAGTCTCTTTGGTGAAACAACTCAGATATCTGAATCCACAGACATTATTTTTTATTCTCATAGCAGCATTGTTTGATAATGTTTTTTTTTGTTTTTATAAGCTTATCAGTTTTTAAAACATATAATCTTAAAGGTAACTTCTGGCTACAGCTGTCAAATAAATATAATGGAGCAAAAACTATAGTATTTCCCTCTGGAATGGAATAGAATAGTAATGGCAGAAACTACAAGTGCCTCTGTTTGCTGGTGAATGCAGCAGTTGAGTAAATAAGTCAGACACAAAGCCTGACAAACACCTATGCGAAATTAGCATCCAGGGGTGCCTCGCCTACAAAGTGAAACTATGGAAAACTGTGAGTTGTGTAATGGCTTCCTTGCTCTTTCAGGGCCTCTTGTCATGATTTATTAACCACCAGCACTGCTGTTGCTCCACTCCTCCACAAAGGTCAGACCGAAGATGCCGCTCCAACTGTGCCTACAGGGAGGAGCCCAAATGTTCGGGATAATTAGGTTTCACCACTTGAGCTTTGACGCAGTAAAACTTATTTACCGCAGTAAAACTTCTTTTCCCAATACTAAGAAATTTCACGAAAACTCCAAAACCAGCAGTGAATGTATTGTATTGTATGTGGAAAGCCTGTCTGGTCTCATCCTTCTGTGCCGTAGACCTCCAGTGTTGTCTAAGAGCATTTCAAAACACATCAGTGAACCACGGCATTGCCCTTTAGGACACGTCTCTTCATTACCATGAACAAAAACACTCCAGATCATTTTGTTCTAATCCTCATGCAGCAGTAAACACCTTCTAGAACACCCAATCTGTAATAATCCATGACTGACAATAGGTCCAACAATTTCTTTCTGTTTAAGTAATGTTTATTTAAATGTGCAATCAAACCTTTTAAAATAAATAGTTAGTCCATCATAATAATTTGCATATTACTGTGCAGCAGGATATTACAAACGTCACAAATTATCAACATGTTTTAAAGTTTGGACTACTTGCTCATCTCATACCTGTGTATTTACACACTCCTTCATCTCTCAGTCGCACACAAACACACTCAGAGCCTCCATCACATGTTAACCCCTTCTGTGGCGGGATTAACAGACTTAACCCAGCCCTGCCAGCATTCTGAACCGCAGCCATAATCTGCCACATTTATGATATTACATTTTCAGCCGTGAATCAGGTCAGCTCATCTAATCCCTCCCTCTCTCTCTGCCCCTTCACTTCCCCCCCCCTCGCCTCACGTCACGCCGCCAGAGCTGTCGGGAAACCGACGGCATCTCAATTCCTGTCGAAAATATTGGAATCAAATGAAAGACGTTATTGAAAACGCAGAATGAACGGAGATTAAGGCTGTGGATTGTGATTAAATTAATCAGAAATGCTCGTAAGCCGCATGTTTAGCCTTTTGTTGCGTGCCAGCAGTGCAGTCGTTTGCTTTGTTAATGCTTGTACCCAATCACTCTAAATCACTTCTAGGTGAGGTGGATTGATGTTTTATAGTGTGACATTTTCCATTTTGACAAAATGATTAATTGATGAATGAAGAAAATAACTGACAGAGTGATTAAAAAGGCCTGTCAGATGTTCTGTCCCTAGTTGGTAAATGTACAAAAGCGATAGCAGTGTTGGCCCAAGTTTACTTGTTACTAAATAGAAGATGCTAATATTGTCATCATTTAAATGCCTTGTTGTTATGTTTAAGGTAATTCATGATTTAAAAAAAAAAAAAGTCCTGGTTGCTTTTAGTTGGTAAATGTCCCAGTGGGTTTTTTTTGACAGGTTGAGCAGTGACAGGCAGTCATGTTGCTTCACAAAGTACATTTGTATTACAGCTGTTTCTGTTGTTTCGACAGGGCTTTTCCCTGACGTGGGAGGTGGCTATTTTCTGCCGAGGCTCCGAGGGAAGTTGGGACTGTTTCTTGCCTTGACGGGCTTCCGACTCAAAGGACGTGACGTACAGAGGGCTGGAGTTGCCACTCACTTTGTGGAGTCAAAGAAGGTCCTGTATCCCGTCCTAATAGATGAACGCACAATGCACTTGCCAAAAAAAAAAAAAACAAGAACAACTTTCAGTTCTGAAGTACTTAGCAGCCCATGCACAGCTCAAGTTTGAGTGTTATTGGTGCTGCAGGGATGTTAGAACGTGGTTGGGGGTGGGGGGGTCAAGGTTAAAGCTACGCTGGAAAACCAGATGCTGCGTCACTCGGTGCCTCACTGTTGTTTATGGATGCCAACATCCACTGGCTGGTCCAGAGACCTGTTGTTTTTGCCCTTGCTGTTGGCGTAGCGTCAGAACAGTGGGTGGCAGAGTTTGTTTAACGCTGTAACCTTGGGGTTTCAGGACACACAGGCAGTTTGGACTTTTTTTTTCACCGGACTTTGACCAGGAATAAAACTAAAGACACATTGGAGTCCAGGGGAAAAAAAAGAGAAGTCCTCATTGAAGATAAACTACACTTTGGTCAGGAATAACAATCTCAAGTGTTCTGTTTGCTGAAGATAAAAGTATTTGGCGAGCTTCTGTTAATGTGCTTTTAGGAAAAACTTCTGGACTCCTACAAGGCAATGCGGTTATGTGTCATTTTTGTTGTGAATCCAAACTGAAAGACAAATTAAAATCTGATTTTGAGTCTGCAGTGTTGCACTGTCCTCAGTGGCCTTTTACAGAAGAAGAAATGAGCCGATGAAATTGTCAGTGCACAGCAGCCGCTTCTATAAAGTGCTTCTTTAATGAGAACCAGGAGGAAAACATGTCCCTGCAGCCAAAAGTAACAAAAGACAGAATCAACAGTCAGCTGCGTACACACTCAGCAAGAATCTGTTTGGTCTTTCCATCAATAGATCTCGGACCTGGAGAAGGAGCTGGTGGACCTGAAGTCTCCGTCTGCTGAAGACATCTCTAGAGTGCTCGACTCCTTCCAAAAGCAGGTTTGAAGTCATGATTGCTGTTTAAGGTCAACAGATTATCAGCCCGGTCGATTATCCAATACTCAGGATTTCTCTGCTCGTCAGTGTTATTTTTTAAAAACTTTTCTCGATAAAATAAGTAATTTTGGCTCTGATGAAGCCGCCTCTCTGTCTATAGTTACTTGGTGGTTTCAAGCAACATCCGCCCACACCTGATTGGTTCCACATCACGTGTAGTAGCATATCAACACTGATGGATAAATGTTGAAAAGTTCTGTTTTAATTAAACATGTGTGAGACATTTCCATTTTGTTATTCAAAACAAAAACACATATTTGAGATTTTTAGTTTTACTGCAAATATATATCAGTTATCAGTTTCTTGGATCATTAATATTTGGCGTTGGTATTGGCCCTAAAAAAAAACCATTTGCCTACTTTATACACATGAAGGTCATAAGACTGATGTGGAGTTAAAAATTTGAAATGTTCAAAACTTCTTCATTAGACATTCTGTTTTTGTCCGCCTGAGAGTTTAACTCTTCTCTGCTCCTCCGGCTACAGAGCAGTCTGGACTCTGAAAAGCCTTTCATCTTGGACAAGCACATGGCTGACATCGACAGGTAGGCCTTGAATTTATGTATTCCCAAACTTACTTAAGCTACAGGTGGATATTCTGTATGTTTGTTATTGACAGTAAATGCCATGAAAAGCACAAACTAACATTGTGTTAGTTCATGTCTCATTGTGTCGACTCATGTCAGCGTCTTTGGTCACATCATAAGTTTCTTAAAACTGCTGGGCACTGTCGTCGTGAGCAGATGCTACTCAAACATGAGAGCATATTTGTTAAGGATTTTGTGTTTTTAATACTTTTCGACAACACTGGAGTTCTACCATATGTCAGCTCTCAGACATATGCAGGACTTTTTGGGATTAGTTCACTGTTGGCTCGGTTTGTTCATGGAATTTGTTGTCATGACCAAAATACTTGTCTGTGTATCTATCTTGGATCCAATTCAATTCACAGCAGAAAAAAATAAATATTTTTAAATGTCTTCACCTTTTCTTTTGCTTCCCATGTCGTCCTTTCCCCTCCCATCAGGCTGTTCAGCTCCAGCAGTGTGGAGGGCATCGTGCAGAACCTGAAGGCAGATGGCTCCGAGTTTGCAAAGAAACAAGCTGAGGTGTGTCCTTGATCTGCAGCCGAATCAGATCACTGACATAATTCATTTATCCTTCCAACCACAGAGATCTGTTCGCACTAGTGCAGGACACGCTCACAGTTTCTGTTTCTACCATCATTCTGCCCTGTCGCCCCACCGTCACATAAATCCCACAAACAGTACTGGAATGAAGCCAGGCTGTTATTTGACTATCACAGAACATCTTAGTAATGAGTTGTTACCTCAGTCTAAGCTTGTTAGTCGAGTCTTGTCTGTCCTGTGGGGTTTCAGGGCTCCTAGGAAACCATGTTGGATTCATGCAACTAGTAATGATTAAATCTGAAAGACGTGACTCCGCTGACTGTTTCATCTGTTGTATATACGAGGTCGAACCTGGAAAAGAAGACGTATAATCTTGTGAAACAGTGCACATGCCCCAGACTGATGCCTCTGCCTCCTCTGCCACACCCCTCCCTTATTGTTCTTCTCCTGATCACTCGGGTCCAGGATTATTGACTTATTGCTTCTAGTCAGCTGTTATGGTAGCTTCCCCCGACTGCTAATTATCCCTTTATGATTTTCAGCTTTTTCAGCAAACATGTAATCATTTCCATTATCCTTTTAAGCCATGAACATTTGAATTAGAGCCATTGGGGGCCAGCTCAGCCATCAAATATTTATAAAAATCCACTTCCTCAGTCACTAAACACCACTGACTCACTGCCCTGCCTTGAACATCAGAGTTGTCCTCATTTGCACGTTGCTCTGCTTGTTTTCGCCTTGATCGCCATGTTTTGCAACAAAATTGGTCTAAAAGCAAATTAACCCGTCCGTGACCTTTTAACAGCAACATTTTCACCATAATTTCCTGCAGACCCTGTCCAAAATGTCTCCCACGTCCCTGAAGATCACCTACAAGCAGCTGCAGGTCGGTGCAACTCTGAGCCTGCAGGACGTGTTGGTGATGGAGTATCGACTGAGCCAGGCCTGCATGGTAAAAACCAACACACTTACTCTACATAATCAGCATTGATAGGCACACATTTTGCTTGTATAGGATAGTATGAGCCCTTTCAGACATTCAGCATCTCAACGTGTCAGCTTCATGTCTGAATGAGCAACATTACTGGGTTGGACCAAGTGATATTTCTGTATCCTTTTCAACACGGCACAAGTCGCCACTGCATGCTGTCACATCACCAGATTGATACACAGAAGTGACAGCACTTAGAGGTGAGAGAACTGATTTGAGGAAAGGTTTTTTTCAACATTTCAACACTAATATTGGTCCAAATCACATCACAGAGCGCAACAGACAGAGTTTGCTGCTGCCAAAATCACAAAACGCCTTTTTCTTTCACTTTGACTTTAACATTTCAGGTCTATTACAAACTGAAATGTCTGAACATAAAAGTTAACTATGATGAAGACTGAGTGTGTAACAGAGCTCCATCACAGCTGGCAGGATTTTTTTATTTTACTGCTGGTAAAGTAGCACTTAGATCATCATCACACATGAACAGAAATTTCAGTAATTAGGAAATCATAAAGTGTTAGTTATTTGGGCACTTTGATAATCTGCTATTAGTCTTTTGTTTATTATTATATTATAACATTTATTAGACCACCACCCAGTGTAAGGTTTATGCCACAGCTGCCCTACATTAACAGCATTGGTAATTACCAACATAATTTTTTATGTTTCTGTAACAGTTAATACACCAGTATGTAGAAGCTCTTTAACCAAAATGATATTTTTAATGCTAAAATATAATTATTATTGTCATCCATGAATTTTCTAATTTACTGTTTCACAAAAAAACTGAAAAAACAGTAAAGCACATTATTATTTTTTGATTACGATGTCAAATTATAGTTATTTGCTTGTATTCCTGAACAGAAAAATTAGTTTTAGTGGTTGAATGTTACGTTTGATTCATTTCTCAGAGAAGCCCGGTGGCTCAGATTTGGGTATAAAAAGATGAATTCAGTTTGAAATTCCTCATTCCTGTTCAAAATGGTAAAACGTGGAGATCTGAGTGTGAATTAAAGCACTTCATGATGCTGCGTGGGATACGTATATATAAATGTATGTATATATATGGTGCTTAACAAATTAGGTGGTCTAATAACTTTGTTCAGAGTTGTACATCACTTAATGTACTGTCTAATCTTGCAGTGACTCTCCATCAGCGTGTGAGTATGTCTAAATGAAGCCATGAGGAACATTAAACGTCTCAAGGACAGAGAGCCGTCACCTCAGTAGACTAACAAAAAGAGCTTTAATTAGTATTTCCATTCTGTTTGTTCCCACGTATTCACATGTAATGTACTCTGCATTCGTCTCTAACTTAATGTGCGACTGTTGGTTATCTTCATCTGTTACAGCTGTTCTAGTTCAAACCTGATTGGATATTTTGTTGTCTTGCAGAGAGGCTGTGACTTCTATGAGGGTGTACGAGCTGGTAAGTTGGCGCGCCACATGGGCAGCAGACGTGGAGATGAATTTAACTGATGTCGCTTATTTTTCTACGAATTCCACACGAGTATGGAACTGAAAGTTGCTCTGATTGTTTTTGTTCATAAAGGATCTGTAAATAGTATTTAATAATTATTCTTCCTCCTACTGCAAATAAACAATAATAGACGATATTAGCTTGGACTCGCAAGGATTATGACTCAGCGATTATGTTGTCAGCTGCTCAGATTGTTCACATTCACTCTCCATCACTGGATGATTGGATAACAAAGGTCATGGATGAGTTATTGCCCTTCTTAGCTGATGCTTGACATCATCACATGTTGTCTGCCTGTCGGTCCCATCATCTGAGTCCTGACTTTCACTGTTTCCAGTGCTGGTTGACAAAGATCAGAGTCCCAAGTGGAACCCATCGACGCTGGAGGAGGTGTCCGACCACAGCGTGGACCAGTGCTTTTCCTCTCTGGGAGAGAAGGACCTGACTTTCTGATGTCGCGTCAGCCAGCAGCTGCTTCCCACCTTCAAACAGACACCGCTAAGCCTTCTCTGAACGGCTGCTTCCTGCCCACACATGCTTTTACGGTCAGTCGTTTAAGAGGACTGTGCTGCGTGCTGTGGATGGAAGTCAGTCTGTTGTTTTATCACAAACACATACATAAGTCAGATGCTCAAATGGTTTCATTCTGTCGTAGTGTTGAAGAGTCTCACGTTCTTCTGGTGACGTTTTACAAAAAAATCCTCTGTTCTTCTGCAGCTGAGGAAAAATAGGTCTGATTCATGTTCACGGGCAGGTATCAAAAATAGTAACAGGAGAGGTAGCTAACAAACACCCAGTGTGTCACAGGTAGAGTGTTTAGTGTAAACTCGCTCTGCAGTGGAGCTGGAGTCTTGTCTACAAAGGCTGATACAGATCAACTGTAGCATCACGTTAACATGAGGACAACGGAAGGAAAAATGATCTCACCATAGAGTGCTTTATTCCATTTCCTGTGGGTGTTTGTTGATGTGACACGGATCGGTGTCGTCTGCAGGCTCGCTGGTTGTAACACACAACGCGTTTTGTCTCTGTTTTCTTATAAATGCTATCTATTGTGATTTTAACTGTAGCATGGATTAACATTCTGACACATCCAAGCAGCACTCCCCGAACAAACAGCAGATGTTAGTGGCTGATTCAGTATCTGCTCTGAATGCATTTGTTTGATGTTTATAAAAACGAATATGACAAGTCTGTATCGTGTGATATTGTGTGTTTTTATATTTACAATTTTTCTGATGGACACTATTTGTTCAGAGGGAACTGAATCGCTTCCTTCATCATTAGTTCTCCAAAGCTGCATTATTTATGAGTCAGATTAAGCATCGATGCAGGAACAGATGGCAATAAAGAGAGTTAGTAACAAAACATAAAGTCTTGTGTGTTCTTGGGGAGGCTACAGACTGCCCGGACATACTGTGTTTAAAAGAACTCGTGGTTAAGGGCAGTATTTATTTTATGACCTGCTTATATATTATTCTTGTAAAACACTGCTAACTTTACAGACTCCCTTTGTTATCAGCATGAGAGCACTGAGCTGCTGTTCGGCTGTAAAGTCGACAAAGTAAACACATTTGCTTTGTTTGCCAGTGGCCTATTTTATCTACAGTATTGCCGGGGAGTTTTGCACATTTTGATATCAGTGAAGCGCTGACTGGTACCAGAGGATGATAAAGCTTTCTGTCTGAAGAGGTTCTGTCAAGTTGTACTGACTTAGAAGCAATATCCATCCATTAGCTCTGTACCGCCTCACTCTGCACAGGGCTGTGGGGGCTGGAGCCTCTCCCAGCTGACGGTGGTACATCCTGGTCAGGTCCTTCACAGGGCTAAGACACCAACCATGCACACTCGCACCAATTTAGAATCACTAATTAACCTCAGTCGGGGAGCTGGAGCACCTCGAGAAAAAAAACCCACGCAGGCACAGGGAGGACATGCAAACACACACGAAGACAGCAGCTGACCAGCAGGTTCTGCTTTTGATACAGCATCATTAACCACGTCACCACCATGTCACCCTCACAACCAACAAATATGTATCAGTTTTTAGCATTTTCTGAACCCTAGGCTATCTACAGAAGGCGACACCTTTATCTCGTGGCTGTTTATGTCCTCTAGCTGACCCCAGGAAGCTCATTTTTTAAGCTGGCATCGTCTGTTGGACAGAGTAGACAGTATATCCTCCCTATACCGTGCACAATAAACTGCTATAAACAGATAAACCATCTTGTTTTATGGCTACCATGTCAAACAAGTGCTGGCCAGCAGTCATTCCTACGTCACTGTGTTTGTCCTTCATGTAGCTGGACTCTTGGCCAGTTCACTCTTACACCACATACCTGTGTCTTGTTTGACAGCCAGGTTAAATAAATACTGTTGAGTCAGTGTGCACCACTAATATGGTAAAAATATGTACTTGGACCAAGCAACTGTAGAACCCAACAATTTCCTCTGAAGTAGTCACACAAAGTCATGATGAAACATTTCAATAAAAGAAGGCATAAATCTGATTTATTGGCATCAGCAGTTTTTACACATACTGTATGTACAGTTTGCAAGTTAGATGAGTATTATACCAGAGGAATATGCAAAAAAGTCATTCATTTTAAGTTATTTTTTATAATGAAATCTTCATTGGCTGACATGTATCGTCTTACAGAGTTGCTTCCTGGAGGTTATTTCTCACTTATTTGGCAGCAGACAAATCCTGGAAACGGTGCAGGTGGCTTCTGTCATCGTTTATCAGGCAACTTGTGTTTTCACTCTATAAAGTCAGCTCAGCTTTTTTTTTTTTTACTGCTTCAGCTCTGTCTCTCTCTCTCTTGCTGATTCTGTGACTATTGTAGAGCCCTGGTACGTTAAAAGAAATTGTGGCTGCAGGAGTAGAAACCAAACCTTTGACCACTTGCGATAAACGATGCACACTGACCTAACGTTTACTCAGTGCATTACTGGATCAGCTGAGGTGGTTTGAAGGTGGTAACACTCCATTTTAAACAACTTCAATGGGAAACTGGGCAAATAAAATACCCTTTGTGGATTTGTAGTGCAGGAAAGCGGCAAAGAAGGAGCTGCAACTATTAATTAGTCAAGCGACAGAAGATTAAGCAGCAGTTGGTTCCAGCTTCACCAGTGTCAGGATGTTTTCTAAGCCATAAATTGAACTGAGCCTAAATCAGGAATAAGGATTTCTGACATTTTATAGGCAAAACCACGAATAATTAGGTCATAATGAAATTCACAGTTGCAGCAACAACTTAAGTGGACCAAAGGGCACTACAATATTCTGCACCTCATGTCATGTCTCCTTATTGTGAGGAATAACTCCACATTAAACCGTTCGTGGGATGAGTTGAGCTGCAATCTCCACCTCTGTTCCACAACTGCTGGTATCGGATAACTTAAAATGGGTGACCTTTAAAACTACAAGTCACATCTCCGAAAGGAAGCGTCAACTGGAAGACACAGATGTTTGAACGAAGACAGGTGTTCACAGTGGATGTTGAACTCTTTTAACTCCCGTCTGACTGTTAAAAAGGGGAAATGCCATCCACGGCTTTTCTTTTTGATGACCACAGAGCTACTCATTGTCAGAGTCGGGGAGAAATAAAAACAGTAGTAAACACAGATGACACCACAATTTGTTAGAAAAAAAAAAAACTTATCTTAGTTTGTTAGAAAAAAAAAAAACTTATCTTAGTGGTGGCATCAAACTGGAAATGCAACATTTTCAACAGTTATGTCTGACATCAGCATTATGGCAACATCACTGAGGAACGGCCTCAGAAACAGATCACCAGTCGTCTATACCATCCCAAAGAGGGGTTTGTTACCCTTATAGGGCTGTAAGAGAATTTCCAGAAATTAAATAATGATTAGAAATAGCATATTCAGCCATAAGTGTCACAAAATATATATTTAAAAAAGCAAAATTTAACCACCTCTGGGCATGGCAGGGCCGTAAGTCTGTTATTTTGAAGGTCAGGGCTGAAAAGTTTGAGAACCCCTGCTCTAAACTATATTAAAATCAACATCAGTAAGATAAATATTCATCTTTAATTGCATTAAATAACCAAACCCAGGCTATCACATTCTTTTCACGCTGCTACCAGGTCTCTGTCGTGTTACTGAAATCAGCCTCTTGGTGTAAATTCAAACAGTCACGGAAAAAAAAAACAGCTCTCAGCAAAACAGCGAGATTAGCCTATCTCGTTTTTTTTTTTTTTCATCTGAAGCGAAAACAAACGGCATCCGATTAGGAATTAGAAATATGGTGTTTAGAGAGCAGCATGATCTCTAATCTTTACTTTGTTCACAACATGTTTGGAAAGACTCCAAGAGATTAAGCCGTCCGCACAGGTCGCTGTTTTATGTGTTCGTTTTTTTAAGCAGGATTGTTCTCGTTAGGTTTCTGAGGAGAAGTCTTTTGATCAATCCTCACTCAACTCACGGAAACAATACAACTTATAAACTGTGGCTCTGACTTTTTCATTTTATTGGTCACTTTTATGTCAAACACTGTTAGCGTTATTAGAGACCCGTTGATAAAGGCAAAAGGTGACAATACCCTGCCACGTACTTTTATGGCTTATCAGCTGATGGTTACTGCTTCCTTTTTAGTATAATTCATCTTTATAAGTTTTTTTTTTTTTCTTCAAAACTGTTAACACTGCAAACAGTTGTGTGGCAGTTTAAGCGTCCTCATCAATGCTCTGAACAGTTTAGCTAGCGGTGGCTTTAATTTTGGGGTAAATCCCACTGACAGTGAGAGTACCTGTGCACAATCTGACATGATTTCCTCTTCTTTGGCTCCAACTTACAGCCACACTACCCCTCTGTGCAGTTACCAAAAGACCTGACCTGTATAACGCCCCCTTCACATAAATCACGGCGTGTAAAACAACTCAACAGAGCGTCTCAAACTGGAGCTTAACAGGGCTCAGGGAAACATTCATTAAAGACTTTGGCAGTTGTGAACCTCGATTCTAAACACCTGCTTTAAGAAGTCATATATTTATGTTGGACGGAATTATCGTGGTTTTCGAGGTTTACATATCTATGTTGTCCTCTGTAGGGCAGATGGCAGTATTTCTCAGTTAGACATTATACAATGTGGACAAAAAACTAGGCCTGTAACATTTTAGCCAAAGCCAAGTGTTTTTTTTTTGCTTTTGTTATTTTAAACTCTAGTTCTGTTGATAAGCCAAATCCTTTCTAGAATTGTGTCAATCCTTTCTCATGCCCTGATTTCTTTGTGGTGGAGAGAACAGTGGGCCCCAAATTATCCAAGTCCTGTTGAAGTTCGCAAACTGTGCACAGAGAGCATCCTGGTGGGCAGGAAATGCATCATTTGTGCACATAATTTCCTGGACCCATTTCGAAGACCTTTCCTGTTGGATGGAGGGCTGCGGTCAACGCTGCCTAATGGCAGTGGGATACGCAGAGCTGAGGATGATGCTCCTTATGGCTCTGCCACAGCATCTCCAGGGAGGCCATTAAGAGAGAACTTCAGCCCGCGGAGGCTTTTGTCAGACCAAAAGGAGTCAGACAGCTGGTTGTGTTTGTGACCGGTGATACCAGTAAGGGTTTTCGAGTGAGGGCCTTCACCAAATGAAGGCATCTATTAATACCCTCCTCCGTAAGAGGAGGGAATCTTGGCCCTGGGACAACATCAGTGGGCAGGATAGACTTTCACTGGCGAGCAGGAACATCGTGGTTCCAGGCAATATCTGACAGGATTTCTTGCTCTGCGATATGAGTCCAGCACCTACTGAGAGAGACGGGACAAACACGAACAGAGAAAGATGATATCCAACTGAAGACACTCTGCTTCAGCGAGGGCTTCATCTTTGATACAAATAATCAGAGGAACGTAGATGGGATCAGAGTGCTTTGGTCACTTTGGAGGAGGGTTTTTAGGCTCAATCCAAGTATAATCCAATCCAAAAGTAGGTCAACAATGAATTACAGACAGCTCATTCATACTCCTGCTCACAGCAGGTAGATGCTTGAGTGATTCCTTCTGAATGACAGTGTTTGAGACTCTTGGCCTTGTTTCACATGTAGGACCTTCAGTATCAAGCAGTCTCAGCCCAGTCTTTCCACCATAATACACCTTCCCATGTCATGGCACATCACATTCAATGTAGGGGATGTCACTGTAGCGGCGGTCTACCTCCACCCACTGCTGCACGGCCCGGGCCACGATCTCCTCGGAGAGCTTCTGGGCGTACTCCAGCAGCACTGGGTTGACCTGAGGGGAGTTCTCCACCGAGTCCATCTCTGAGTGAACCAAGTAGGCCTTCTCGCCTTTCGTCCCCTTGCCTTTGCCTTCCGCCTTGTCGGTGGAGTTTGCATTTTGGCCAGCGGAGTCGTTCCTCTTGGATTTGACGCACCCCATACTCTGGAGGATGTAGCATTGATTCACTTCAGAGTGGGAGATGCGCGGCGGCAGTGAGGTGCCTCAGTCTTTGGTTAGATTTCTGACTCACAGCAACATTTTCACCTCGAGTACATCCCGTAAGCAATTCTGTACTTCCCCTCGACTTCTTTCTACCGCAGTCAGTTTGGTGCTACTGTCATCCACTCCCACTCTCCTCCATGTCTGTGTGCCAACGCGTGTGTGATGATCAGGGGTTATTGCACAGCAGAGGGCGGTGATCTGGAGGGGTGACCAGCTAGGAGGCCCATCTCTGTGTGGCTGCGCTGAACCAGACAGTCCTTTGTTGTCCAGAACTCATCTCGTCCTGAACTGCAGAGAGAAACAAAGTGGAAAGAGATATGTGGAGAGGAAGGATTTCAGTGATTTATTTTCCAGCAGAGGCAACCTACAAAAATACCAGATGGCGGGGAACCACGAAAGAGATTGTAAACGATTTTCACAGTGGCTGTGGCAACAATGCGACCCGGGCTCCGGTGGCTGGCTCAAGGTCAAGGCCCCCGGCGGCTCCCCTCACCTCTGCGGGGTCATCTTTAAACACACTCTGCTCCTCTGCACGTCCACTGTGTTACTCATTCGCCTCCCCCCTCCTCTACCTCGGAGTGTTTTATGACTCAATCCCTCGGCCTATTTTGTAAAGCATGACACGGGGACGTCTGTCTCTAGCTTGAGTGCACTGATGCTGTGTTGTTGTAAGCCTGTGTCTCCCATCTGTTCCACTAACCGAGCCTCGCAGCCTGATTCACCGTGACAGCTCCTTTGCTGGGACTACGGGCCTTGTGGCGCACAGCAAACATGTGCTTCATTCAGAAACCCCTCATGCTGTAGTCTACACAACACGCCAGGCCCTGAATGATTTATGCAGAGTGGGGAGTCTCCCTGTGAGTACAACAACATTTGGAGACACAAACGCAGGAATCTGTCACCAAACCCTGATCTTAATGAGCTTAAATGGTTGCAAATGTGTCTTAATGTAAATGTGTGCCACACCGTGAGAGCATCCGTCATATGTGGGACAGACACATGGGATTTTTGGATTAAAACCCTGATAACTGACTTATTTGAACAACAGCTTGTGCAAACCTGCTCTGAGCCTTTAGTGGAAACATCTCTGCAAATATGACAATGTTATCAGAATGTGCTGTGATCCAGTGGAGCTGTACATACTTTTAACAGAGTGTGGCAAAAGCGTCAGATCTTTCTCCATTCCACCCAAAAAAAATAGTAATAATCCGGCTGCAGAAGGAAATAACCCAAGGTCGTTCAAGTAAACAGTAATCCGGACATCATCTGGTGTCGCCTCGGATCCTCTGCTCTTTCCACTGCTCCTCACACTGCATCCGAGCGATCTGCACTGGATCCTTATTGACTGTATGTAAAGAAACAAAATTATTTCCCAAGTTGCAGCCGCTTCTGCTGCTTCTGCTGCTGCTGGTGGTGGTTTTTGGATATTTCGCGTGAAGCGCTCCGCTCCAGATTTCACAATAATCTCTGAGAGGAAACAGAAAAAACAAAATCCATCCCAGGCTGGTGGAGCAGGCGGCAGCCGGTTTCCCTGTTGCCTTCACGTCGGTCCACGCAGAGTGGAGCTCTGAAGGGGAATAATCAGAGGTCTGGACTGACGCTCCACAACAGTCACCAGCTGCAGCGGTGCTCCGGAGGAGAGCGAGTCCGGCCGATGCGCACCGGCCGCGGCTCCGCAGCGACGCGGTGCGACCCTGACACCTGGCGGCCTCCCCCAGGAACACGGCACCGAATACTGGACTGGAAATAAAACCTGCCCCCCCCAATCTCAGGTGCATTGTTCATCAGAGGTGGAAAAAAAATAGTCCCATAGGCTGGTAAAGGCCGCAGATCAAATGTATTGAGTTCTGCCTTTTTTCTTCTTCTTTTCTTTTCTTTTAGAATTCAGATCAGTCAGAATTAGACATTTGAAGACTTAATTCAGGATTCTGAGATTTAATTCAGGATTCCGAGATATAGGTCAAGAGTGTGATATTTAAATCAGAATTATCAGACTGTGTTGTGCTAGTTGTATTTGAAACTCATACTTCCTACAATAATACATCCACTTGCTGAAGTGTTTTAATGCTTTATGCACTAACACAGCTGAGATTTCAAAACAGAGAAAAAAGAAAAATCCCAAATGAAAAGGACAAAAATGTCCCTAGAAGATTATTTTAACACAACCCATAACCTTTTTTTTAATCACTCTCAGATCAGAGAGCGTGGACAAACCTATTCATTCAGAAATCTGGGTTACACTCTTACTGCACCTGCTGTATGAGCAGGACATGAAACAACCCCGACCCTGGTCCTGCTTCACTCTAGTATCTCAGTGCCACACCAAATACAGTCCCTGGGTAACATTGTCACTATCTTTTGACAGTAAACAAGAGTATTTCCACTACTAATGAGTGTATTATCTATCACAGCCTCCTGGATGGACACAGGAGCAGCTACAGTGAGCTACACCTCACTGCAGGACTGAACTGTTCAGGAGGCCCTTCGTCCCCACAGCCATCAGCCATCAGAACACCTCAGTCAAGGACAGTGATCTGATCTGTTTGCTGCTACTCTCCAGTGACTCAACTCAGCTGTGCAATAAAAACCATAATCC